GTTTTGTTACGTTTCCAATGGCTTCAGATCTTTTCTGTGTGATGTATGGGCGCGAGTGCAAGTACGGAGCTCCTTACTTCTCCGCCATCTTGCCTTCTCCCATCATTAACTTCATTAGTGTTTCCATAGTTTGGGCTTTTCTAGAATGTCATATAGTTGGAATCACATGGTACATAAGCTTTTCAGAGTGGCTTCTTTCACTTAGTCATAGCATTTAAGATTCCCCAAATCTCTGTTAGATTCTTGACTAGGAAGTTGACAGTAGTGTTGTTTACTGTTTTATTGCCAGTGCCAGGTGGAACGCAACCCCAGGTGGCATGCTGGTGTTCTAAATTAATGCTTTGGAAATCCTTGAGGTGTATTCTGCTTCTAAAATTTGGCTGTGTATACAGTTGTGGTAACCCAAAGTTACTTTTTTGCCTTTCCTGGTTGAATTTTTCAGTACCAACTATAGGAATGGATCCATCTTTATTTTTTTAAAAACTTATGTTGAGAAAACGCACGCACTAGTGGGGGAAAGGCAGAGAGAAAGGGAGAGAGAGAGAATCCCAAGCAGGCTGTGTACTGTTGGTGTAGAGCCTGCTGCGGGGCCTGGTATCATGAAGTGTGAGATCATGACCGGAGACAAAATTGGGTCGGATGCCTAACTGAGCCACTCAGATGTCCCTGGACCAGTGTTTTTTTAAAGCAGCATATAAAATTCATATTACAACAGCATATTTTAATATTTTTAGCTGCAGTCTACTATAGGGTTTTTGTTGCATTAAAAAAAAAAAAACCCAGCTTAGTTGACATAATTTTCATACCATAATATTCGTTGTTTAAAATCATTTGAGGGGCGCCTGGGTGGCTCAGTTAGTTAAGCGTCTGACTCCTGCTTTTGGCTTAGGCCATGATCTCACGGTTTGTGAGTTTGAGCCCCACACTGAGCTCTGCACTGATGGTGCAGAGCCAATTTGGGATTCTCTGTCTGCCCCCTCCTTGCTCACAAACGGACTCTCTCTTGAAATAAATAAATAAATAAATAAACTTAAAAAAAGAATGATTTTTAGTGTTCTTGATGTTTAAGTTGATGTGATTATAGAGAAGTACCTGGTTTTGACACGGAATTTCAGCTCTTCTCTGGATGAGCAAAGTTAGTTAGACTCTGGGGAGAAAAAATAAAGGGCTGGTCTTGATCTCTGAAGAAGTGCAAACCAGCACAGAGCTAGTGCCATCATGCATGTGTTTCTGAGCCAGCTCTGATCATATTGTTCCAGAGCTATCACAAGGTACTCCTACATGAGTGGTAGAGTTAGCTCCGTGTGGGCTTCCTGGAAGCCAGCATTCTCTCCATGTCTCAGGGTCATTTTTCACGTGTTGAGCAACCCAGGCATTACCCTGCAGGAATTTGTCACATCGAACCAGATGAATTGCAGGTGAAAGTGTGTTGTGACTCACTGCTCACTGGTGCTTGCAGGCACGGTGACGGCCGCCAACGCCAGCACGCTGAATGACGGCGCAGCCGCGCTGGTTCTCATGACCGCAGAGGCTGCCAAGAGGCTCGGCGTGAAGCCACTGGCAAGAATAGCAGGTAGAACGTGTTCTCAGCTGGTTTATTCCTACACGTCCTCATGCTTCCTGAAATGGGGTTTCCATGCTGGTCATACGGTGTCTCCGCGTGTACCACGTGACAGGATGTAACTCACGGTTTGAAAAGAAGCTCCTTTACCATGTTACAACTTGGTCTATGGAAGAGTAAGCTTTAAAAGTTTTTTCCTGTCCAGCATGAGGAGTGGGAGAATACAATGTACGTTTCTTCTGTGGCCCTGAGGGGATGAAGTCAGGGATTTAGAAACAGGAAATCTAGATACTCTGGCATTTATTATTAACTATGTGACTGTGTCATACCCTTAGTCTCCTTAAATGTACTTCTAGCTATAAAATCTGCCCTGCCTTCTCAATGAGATAGACAGATACCTACCATCTTGTTACTTTATAAAAGCCTTACAAGTTCAGTTTTAGTTGAGGTCTTGCTTTCTTAACCTCAGCACTGTTGACACTGTGTAACAAAGCATTCTGTTGTGGAGGCTGTGGTGCACACTGGAGGCTGTTGAGCTGCGTCCTCAGCCTCTCCTCACTGGATGCGGCAGTAAGTGGCATTCTACCTGTTACAGCATTCACGGGTATGTGTCAATCAAGCCAGTGTCCCTAGAGGCAAATTACCCCCAACCCCTACCTAGGAAAATCCATGGCTTTGATGACTAATGCAGTTTTATAAAGCACAGAATCTTAGAAAAGTAACAAATACATTAGGATTAGGAAGCTTGCACCTTTGCATATCATATATAACTGTTAGATAACACTTGTACAAACGATTTTAACGACCTATTAAATCTTTTTAAATACAGCTTTTGCTGATGCTGCTGTGGACCCTATTGATTTTCCAATCGCACCTGCACATGCTGTACCTAAGGTGAGAACAGTTGATGGCTGGTCCTCCATTGTGCTGGCCTCTGGTTTCTTTTTACCAAAGCTGCAGGGTTTGGATTTTCAATGTTACTCGTCTGCTGAAGGACAGAGATAACATGCTTTTTAATCTTCCAACTTCTCCTGAAAATAATCTGAGCAATCCACAAACATCTTCAGCAGAACAGACAACAACTGAATTATTTCTCAGTATGATGCTGAATTCACACCTGGTGTGAGAACTAGAGTGGGAAGTTGGCGTGCCAAGGAGAAATGAGGGCCCTGGTTCTAGCATTCAAAGCACAGAATCTCTACTAGGAGAGGTCTCCCTTCTGCAAGGGAACTGCTGGGAACCAGTGTTAGAGTAGAACTAAAAACAGAATACGTACGTTCTCCAAGCTGTTGCTCTGATAAGTCTCTAAGGGAAGTTGCTAGGGGGAGGAGGGTCACAGGAAGAGAAGATGCTGAATGGCTTTAGGGGTTGAAGGATGGCAGAAGATTCCAGCAAATAAACCCTTTCAGAAGGAGAGGGTTTCACCATGAATGAGAACTTGAGACCAGCAGCTACAGGTAGAGCAGAAATCAGTGAGGAAGCAGGGTAGAGAGGATCAGAAACAAAGGGGTGTGATGGTCTGGCGGCAGGTGGCAGATCTCCGAAAGGAACTTCTTCTTTCTGAAAGAAAGCTTCTGAAAGTGAGCGCTGCCCTGGAGAGCAAGGGCAGTAGGAGTGCGGGGATTCGGGGGGATTCGGGATTCTGAAGGCATAAGTGTGATCCTGACCCTGGTCTGAAGTGACCACACTCAGGTACCATGTTTTTGTCTCCGGGCTGTTGGATCTTTACAGCATGAAAGGCGGAGCCGGCTGGAGGAAGAGGGCAAGAGGGAGGGATAGCTTCCAATTCACACAGAACCACTGGGCCCCCAGGCCTTCCTATGCAGCTGAGGAGCTACCAGAGTAAGAGCTGATAAAATCAAAGACCTGAAATAATGGACAGTGAAGGTACAACAGATCAGAGTCTCTGTGCCCCTGGACCCCATAGCAAACTTTTATCAAGGAGATGTAGAGAAAAACGGCCTTTCACTTGGGAGGCCAAGAATCTACAACCAAGCAACGATGCATACAGATCTCAGGACTGTCAAGTCCGAACCCCAGGAAAAGTGTTCTTTCCAGGTATCCGTGGAACATTCAAGAAAATCAAGTTGTCTTGCTACAAAACAGAAATAATAAATGCAAAGAAAATTCTGTGCTCATACGGCAGTAAGGTGAGAAATTAAAAGCAGAAAATAAAATGGCCCTTCCTCCTGGAAACTAAAACTCCAAATTTAAATATCTGCTGCATCAGGGGAAATAGAAACCCAAGTTGCATAATTCCAAGGAAACAAAGTAAGTTTTAACTGCAAAATACTATCTTTAAAAATTTTTTTAGGTTCTTAAAGACGCAGGATTAAAAAAAGAGGATATTACAATGTGGGAAGTAAATGAAGCCTTTAGTCTGGTGGTGCTAGCCAATATGAAGCTGCTGGAGCTGGACCCCCAGAAAGTGAACATCAATGGAGGCGCCGTCTCTCTGGGGCATCCAATCGGGTAGGTAGTCCTAGAGGTACCTGGGTCTGGGCTAGTGGCTACTTAACTAGCTTTGGGTCTGTCTGAACCAAAACTGCTTCCTGCTGATTCCCATTACTCTTGGTGGAAACTGATTCCTTCCCACGCGTCCTGGAAAGGGCAAACCCCATTTCTGATAGGACACGACACTGAACTCAGACCTGTCACTTTTGGTGCCTGAGGACAGATACTGTTTTATTTTGAAGAAGAGCATTTAAGATCAAAGTCTACACTTGCGCTTTTGAAAAAAGCCCTACCTGGTCTTGAAACCTCTCTCTCCAGTTATGTTTAACTGACTGAGCCACCTAGGTGCCCCTAAACTTTTCAAGCTAATTTGGAATTGAAACTGTTTTTAGTTACGTATCCTGTAATTTATTAAAGACCCTAAATGCTCTCTCCATCCCAGGATGTCTGGAGCCCGGATTGTCGTTCATATGGTTCACGCCTTGAAGCCAGGGCAATATGGTCTTGGCAGTATCTGCAATGGAGGAGGAGGGGCCTCGGCCATGCTGGTGCAGAGGCTGTAGCCCATCGTGTGTGTCCAGAGCAGCAACCCGAGGTGGCTGGGAGGTCCTGCCACCACCAGTGTGACGGACACCCCGGGTCAGGTTGTAACCGGATCATCTATTTGGATTTTTATTTTCTTAACTTTTTAAAATAATAAGGTCACCTCTCAAATCTTTGAAATTACAAATAAATTTTTTCTTGGGCTCTAAATCTCTTGTAATCTTTCAAGTTTAAAATACTTTCGTTACAAAGCTATATACTAGTTAAAATACCCGTATTCAGTATTAGTGACTTTTAAGTAGAAGCTTCCATTCTAGACAACCATAATTTATATTTTTGAGGATTTGTAAAGATCAAATGAATGTTATTTACAGCTAATTTAGATTTAGTAGGCTTTTTTCTTCTTTTAAAAGAACGAGAAGGAAACGGTGTGATCATGACCTGAGCTGAAATCAAGTTAGATGTTTAACCGACTGAGCCACCCAGCGTCCCTCCTTGTAGCCTCTTCAAAGTGAGAGCAGCTGTTCTGTCAAACTGGCAGAGCCTCATACCCTCAGTCAAGAAGGCAAAGATAGTGGGGGCAGTGTTGCTGCCCCCAGGAGGTACCCACGTGCTCAGGTCTAGAGTGGGTACAAGGTCTCGTAACATCAGCGGGCAGGATTTGGGGGTCTAGGGGTCTGGGAAAATCCAGAGCATTGGGCTCTGGATTATTATGGCAGCAGAGAGTGGGGAAGGAAGGGAGGAGACTGCCTGTTGCAGTAAGCCACGATGCCTGTCCTGAGGCAGGATAAAATGCACCACCAGTGTCCTGGATTTCACGTCATCTGGGAAAAACATCTACACTGTAGGCGGGGGCTGTATGCCAGGCTCAGCTACAGCTCTCAGAAGAGAAAGCTCCTGTTTAAGCTGACATTGGGGGGTGGGGGGGCGCCAGCAATGGCCATTGTACATACATACAGTCTCCTGGCAAATGCTTCGTTGTGGATCCTCATCTTAGAAAAAAAGACAACATAAGGAAAAACATTTTTTAAAAACATTTATGTATTTTTGAGAGTATGAGCACTGGAGAGGCGCAGAGAGAGGGAGACACAGAATCTGAAGCAGGCTCCAGGCTCTGAGCTGTCAGCATAGAGCCCAATGCAGGACTCAAACCCACAAATAGTGAGATCATGTCCTGAGCAGAAGTTGGACACTTAACCAACTGAGCTACCCAGGTGTCACGAAAAAAATACGTTCTTAAGATTCAAAGAATATATCTGTAATCACAACTAACATTTGTGGCTCAACATGGACTAAGAAGTACTGTCCTAGAGACTTTATTTGTATTAACTCCTTTAATGCACACAAAAACTCTCAAGAGGTAGGTACTATTATTCTCTCTACTATACAGGTAAGGAAACTGAGGCACAGAGTAGCTGACATGGCTACAAATCCAAGCAATGTCACTCCAGAGCCCAAGTTCTTCACTCACTGTGCTTGGTAAGTATCTGCTGTGACTGTAACAGGAGGTAGGTAAGATACATAATAGAAGAAAACCCAAAATAAATTAGAATACTTCATTAGAGACTAACAATTAACATTGCATCTAAAAGTCAGTGATATAGAAAAGCTCTCTGATAATTCTGGGGAAAAAATGAGAGGAAAAGGAAAACAACCATTAAATGCTATTCCTTAAAAAAACAAAAACCTGTGGCACTCCAGTCTTTAAGTACTAAGTGAGCAGGTTGTGAAGGCCTTCCTTCATTAGCAAAATTAATGAACAGAATCATACTAGGATATTCTGGAGAAAACATCTAGGTAGAAAAATGGGTAGCATCAGTACTTATTTCTTACATTAAATACTAGACAAGTGACCAACATCTACAGATTTTTAATGAAATACAGTGTTAAAGATAGAAATTTTTAGGGATGCAAGAGCTTATAAAATATGTTGCTTTGATATCGCCTCCAAAAATGACTAAGTTTATTACCAGCACAAGGGAAGAAGAAGAAAAATGATTTAATATTTATTTCTCAGGGAGACAGAGGATCTGAAGCTGACTCCATGCTGCCAGCAAAGAACCCGAGGTGAGGCTTGAACTCATTAACTGTGAGATCATGACCTGAGCTACCCAGGGCAACAGGGTCTGCACTCTCGGGTACCAGAGAATGGCAACGAAGAAGCATTATTAATGGCACAGGAGCACCCCCCACAGGCTCCAGTGCACAGGGAGGGGACAGAAAAGGCTATTGTTGGGTTGCTCCTTGAAAGGGCCCTAACCTCCTGCCTTCCCAGCCTGCTGATTCAAAGAGAATGCATGTTTATCAGGCTTTTGATATATTTGCCAAATACTTGTCTAGAAGTAGTGTACTGATTATACTCCCACGGGCAGTAAATGAGTGTTCTGAGTGTGAGTTTTTACTTTTAACGTACCATCTGATGGACAAAGTAGGGCATATCCTTATTTTGTTTTTTATATTGTTTACTAACTGATCTGGTTCATCTCCTACACAAGATCATCGTCAAGACTGGGAGAGGTGTCTGCTGTATGTAATGTGTGGAAACCAAGGAAGAAAGTCCAGAAAACTGGAAAGAACAAGATAAAACTGAACTAGACATTTATGAAAGAGAGACATGTGATTTACCTGATAGTTCAAAATAATAATCATAAAGATGCTAACTGTGGTTAGGAGAACAATACATAAACCGTATTACCTGGTGATCCAAAAGAATGAAATCTTGCCATTTGTAACAACATGGATGGAACTAGAGTGTATTATGCTAAGCAAAATAAGTCATTCAGAGAAAGACAACTATCACATAACTTCACTCATATGTGGAACTTAAGAAACAAAACAGATGAACATAGGGGAAGGGAAGCAAAAAATAAGAAAAACAGAAAGGAAGACAAAGCATAAAACAGACACTCTCAAATACAGAAACAGGACTGCTAGCAAGGTGTTGGGTGGGGGCATGGGCTAAATGGGCAATGGCCATGAAGCAGGGCACTTGTTGGAATGAGCACTGTATGCTATAGGAGCTCTGGGTGATGAATCACTAAATTCTATTCTTGAAATAATTATTACACTATATGTTAAGGAACCTGGATTTCAATAAATTAATTTAAAAATACATCCCAGTAGAAAGGCAAATTCACAAAAGGTAAATTAAAATTTGAAAAAGTCCACCTCACTAATAAACGATATAACCACAGGACAAAGTCAGTGTTTCAAAAAAGAGAAAATGTAAGAAAGTACCAAACGGAAATCAGAGCTGAATACAGGAACTCAAGTGAACAGTTCAACAGCAGATTTGACCCTATGGAAAAAAGGATCGGTGCAATCAGGACAGTGAAACGCCTCCAGAAGAGAAAACAGAAGGAAGGTGACTTAAAAGACTTATGTGAAAATAGCCAGTGGACAAATATTTGCATTACTAGAGTCCCAGAAGGAGAGGATAGGGGCCAAGAGCTAATTCAAGGAAATAATGGTTGAAATCCCTAATCTAGGGAAGCAAAGAGAAATCCAATCCAGGGAGTCCAGAGAGCCCAACAGCAAGACATAGTATAATTAAACTGTGAAAAGTTCTAGCCAAGGAGAAAATCTTAGATGCAGCAAGAGAAGATGACATTACCTACAAGGGAAACCCCAAAAGACTATCAGTGCAGTTTTCAGCAAACTGCAGCCAGAGGAGAGTGGCAGGATCTGTCCAAAGTGCTGGAAAAAACCCACAATGCCAATCAGTACTTTACCCAGGAGAGTTGTCCTTCAGATTTCACTGAGTTTCCCAGACAAGCAAGAGCTGAAGGAATTCAACACTACTAGGCCATTCTTACAAGAAATGTTAAAGGGACTTCTTCAACCTGAAACAAAATTACACTAATTAGTAACAAGGAGACGTGAAGGTTTAAGTGTCCCTAGTAAAGACAAATAGAGTCAAATTCAGAATACTCAAATGTTTTAATGGTGGTAGGTATATCACTTGTAACTCTAGCAAGGTTAAAAGGCCTTAACCTCTAGAAGGTTCCAAGTATTAAAAATAAGTATAACTACAAAAATTTTAATGGTTGCACAAGGTAAAACTAGTACAGCAAAATCACTGTGGTAGGAAAATGTACAAGTGTAGTTTTTGTATGTATTTGAAGTTAGTTGTTATAACTTAAAACGGACTGTTATAAATGTCTTAGTGGCACGTGGGTGGCTCAACTGGCTGAGCACCCAACTCTTGATTTTGGCTCAGTCATGATCCCAGGGTTGTAGAATCGAGCCCTGATTCAGGCTCTGTGCTGAGTGTGGGGCTTTCTTTCTCTCTGTGGGACGCCTGGTGGCACAGTTGGCTAAGCATCCAACTTCAGCTCAGGTCATGATCTTGAGGTTTGTGAGTTCGAGTTCCACAGTGGGCTGTGCTGTCAGAGCAGAGCCTGCTTTGGATCCTATGTCCCGCTCCCCTTCCCTGGCCCTCCCCCACCTGTGCACACACATGAGCTCTCTCAAAAATAAAACAAGTTCTCTTTCTCCCCCTCTGCCTGTCTCCCCTGATAGTGCTCTTTCTAAAAATTAAAAAAAGGATATTTAAATACTTTATGTAAGCCTCATGGTAACTGCAAAACAACCTACAGCAGTCACACAAAAATATACAGAGACAGGGGTCTAAAGATGCCACTGTAATAAAACAATGACCAAATCACAAAGAAGGGATCAAGAGATGAAGAAGGAAACAAAGGTTCACAAAACAGCCAGAGGACAATTAACAATGGCCACAGTAAGTCCATAGCTGTAAATAATATTTTTTTTTTAAAATATTTTTTATTTATTTCTAGGAGAGAGAGAGAGACAGTGTGAGCAGGGGAGGGTCAGAGAGAGAGGGAGTCACAGACCGAAACAGGCTCCAGGCTCTGAGCTGGCAGTCAGCACAGAGCCTGACGCGGGGCTTGAACCCACAAACCGCGAGATCATGACCTAAGCGAAAGTCGGACGCTTAACCGACTAAGCCACCCAGGCGCCCCAATAATACCTTTAAATACAATGAACTCAATTCTCCTATCAAAAGATGAAGAGTAGCTGAATAGAGAAAGACTCAACTATATGCTGCCTGCAAGAGACATCAGCTTCAAAGACACAGACTGAAAGTGAAGGGTTGGAAAGTGATACTCCATGTATGGAGGCTAAAGAAAGAAGAGTGGCTACACTTACACTGGACAAATTAGACTAAGA